TCAGCAATTTGACAAAGTTAACCCCAGAAATGTGCTTCCAAGTCGTCACACAATCTTCATACGTGGACTTCCTGGGTCCACGGACGTAGGAAAGGTCAAGTAAGTTAAGATTCCAAGATGCCTAATGGATTCACAGGGAGTACTTCTCATCGGAGTCAAATTCAAAATGCTCAATTGACTTTTTCTCAACCTCGGAAGATCGGAAGCGATTATCCGTTGCCATACGTTTCAAGTCCAATGATTTAGCCCGGGAAATGATTGCCAAGTAAGTTCCATCTCAAGCGGTATTATCAGTTAGGTACAATAACAACATGCTATTCGGACATCCGGTTGAATTGACCTGGTTCAGGGATCTTAAAAAGGCCCGCGCCAAAAGTAAGAGCATGTAGAATTGATTTCAATTTTCTCTCAGTGTTTGAGGAGCAACGACAAAGTGGTGGAAGGTCTTTCCAACGTTCCGGATTCAGAGGAAATTTCCGAAATTTTCAGGACAGGCGTGGAATGGCCAATTCCCCTGGTAATTATGACAGCGGAAGAAGGGCTAGAACTGGTTCTTCATCTTCAGGTGGTGCTGCTGAAAATTCCGGATTGCGTGGTCAGTCAGGGAAAGCAAGATACAGTCGTTCACGAAGTCGGTCTTTCACAGGATCGTCATCGCGTAGCGCCAGTCCTTCTGGTCAGTCACGATCCCGGTCCCATTCTCGCAGCCGGTACGTTCGATTTCACGTCTTATTCTCTTTGTGGCGAATGTGTTTCAATGTGCAGTCGTGTCCAGTATGTGTTTATGCCACCTAATTCTGAATCCGGAATGTGATCACATCTGTTATTGGCGGTGGTGGCCAAGTGGTTAGGTCACCAACTTGTGACCCGAGTTACGGGTTCGAACCGCTCCACCGCCGCCCGTCTTCCCAGGCAGCCTTTGTATGGCCGCGGTCCCCCTTGAATGCTGAATGTACATTTGTATATTCAATAAATAAGCATTAGACGTAAAGAGACAATCATTATTACCAGTGAGTCTTGTTCTTGGGCTCATCACCACGCGATAAAGAGTAATTGCAGTCAGATTACAGATTATATATATATTTCACACTTGTCTAAGGACAGACTGTGTACTAAACAAATCATGGTCCAATAATCTTCATAAAAGAAAAATGTTCCATGATTGGCTTGTGGGCTGAGTACTGCCAGGTTGCCCAGGCCAAGGCAGGTGAATTTTCTTGAGGAATCCACAACCGGAGCCTTCGGCTAGCCAAAGCCTGACCCGCAAGGCAGCGGGGCGGTGTGCGAAAACCGCAGTCCATTGGGAGCCGGTGTCCAGTTCATCGGATCATACGCCCTTCGGACGGGGTCAGACGTCCAAGGTGCCCCAATACACCTCAATGCCCAATCGAGCCGGTGACCACTGCCACAACCGANACAACCGAAAAGGTGTGGGTGTGGTTCGTACGTCTCCTCATAGTTGGTTTGGAATCAGGGTTTTTGGCCAACTCCCCTAGGTGAACTGCCAGTGGTCCACCAACTCGGCTATAGCCCCGGATATCGGCTTCTCGTCCTCTCATTTTGGTGGGAAAACGCCGCCACGAGAAGGCAGTGAGTAGGGCTTCCTCAACAGAGGCTCTTTGAGACGCTTGGTCGTATGGGGGCATTTCGTGAGGTGCAAGGGCAGGGTGACCAGCCGCAACCCTAGACACCCACCCCCAACCATACGGACTACAGATTGATGGGTTATCGATCACAGTGACGGTCCCGTCTTTTTGTTTTGCACAGCTTACGCCCTTATCCTCAGGACATTTGGTGGTATCTGTTTGTGTAGAATGCAGATGCAAACATTTTTCAGAGCAGGATGCGAATGGTTCGTTGTAGGTTCTGAAGTAATGATCTCAAACAGGAGCCGCTCCTGACCCAGATGACATTTTTGATCTAATTCCTCCCATTAGGCAACCGTTACATCCAAGACGTTCAAGCTCAAGGTAAATCCAACTGTTCGTGATGACCAAGTGACAATCGAGGTTTGTAGTTTTCCCATTTAACATTTTCTGCATAATTTAACTGCCTGTTGAACTAGATTGTTCTTATTTCGTTCTCTTGCATCAGGCAAGTATCTGGTTCTAATGCTGATCATAATGCCCGAGGGAATGCACGAGGTTTTTCGGATGGACAGAATATCGGTTCTCGCCAATCCCGGAAGCAAACTGCCCGATCTGTCAGCGGCAGTAGCAGCAGTTCACGTTCTTCACATGGTGAAGTCCGTCCTAACACCGGTGTTCGCGCAATGTCTGGCCAGAAAATGCACTACCAGCGTTCACGTGGCGCCGCATCTCCGTTGAATTACGGTCAGTTGCATCTAATGTCTTCCGATTGTAGGGAGCCATGTCGCCTAGTGTCTCAAGCATTTCTCTATTTCATATTTTTATGACTTTGTTAAGACTGTCAAACAAATCACGGTACAATCTTGATAAACAAAATCTGCTCCATGGTGGTACTGCTAGGCTGTCCAGACCAAAGGTGAATTTTCTTAATGAGTTCACAACCGAGGCCCTTGGCTACCCGCAAGACAGCCGGGCATTGTAAACCGCAATCCATCGGAGTCCGGTGCACAGTTCATCGGGTCGGACGGCATCAGACACCAGAGGTGCCCACTAGGGCTGATGACCACTACCACTAACAGGGGTGTGATTTTTCCGCCTTTTGGTCTATTTCGTCATCCTCGTACAGCGAGTTACAGTGAAGCGACCTTCACTGATCGCTGCGAAGCTCACGGTGTACACATGCGATAAAAAACAAGATTGGGAAGGATTGTGCTTAATTGGAGGGAGGTGGAGAAAGTGGTCGACACAGTACGCAAGTATTCTGATCTGATAGGAAATGTTTGGTTTGGTTTTTAGCCAACTCCCTTAGGTGATCTGCCAGTGAATCACCGACTGGTTATAACCCCAGATATCGGCATTTTTCCGTGACTCATTCCGTATTGGCAACGCTGCCCGGCGAATCTCCATCAATAGCAGTTTTTGATTGTTTAATTTTCACCCTTTAATCACCCTCACCGGGACTCCAATTCAACCTTGATCGTGGCTAGCTGCTTGACCAATAGCCACGAAAAATTTGATTTGATCACCAAAGTAATGCTTTTTTCTGCCTCCTACATCACTACCGTACGTAGTGTTGTATTACATCCAGTTAATGATGGACCTACAGGTTCTCGTTACTGGTGTGTTCGTTGTAAAGCGTAATATAGCGAGGCAAACTTCACTGATTGCCGCCAAACTCATTGAGAGAAGCGATAATGTGTAAAAAGAATAAGAACTAAACCCAATTCAGGGACGGAAAAAGGAAGCGAACCACTGTAGTCAGCACAGTACACAGTCCAACTGCGCATACACTATTTCAGGCATTCTGGACTAATGAGGTAACAGCAGGGTCGCCACTATTGTCGGTTGGCTACCCCGACCTTCAACGTCTCCAACCGTCAAGTCTTGGAGTCTTGGACCCCAACCCGGAAGACTGGCGTGTTCGTCATGAGTATGCCACCAGACACCTCATCGTCTTTTTATTAACGAGCATTTCCCCAACAAACGTCTCCATTTTAGCCAAAAATTGCCCCTCAGCTAGTCTTCAGACCTAGTGCTGGGTATGACATTCTGTGCAGCTCTAATTATTCCATTGCTACTATTGACTGTTGATAATTGTGAAACTGTTAGGAAAACCTGCTTTTTTATTGGTTGATTAATCAGTCTGATTTGGTTTGATCTTGGTTTGCTTACTGTTTTGTCGGGGCCACCACCCGTTGGTGCTACTCTTTGGACTGCTGGTCAAATTATTTCGAATGTACGTTTCCTTTCTGCTCGAACTTATTGTCTACAATGTTGACGTATTGTTTTATCATCACGGAATTATTATAGACAGATCCGAGACGTTCTGACTATATTGCTGTTGACCTCGGGTTGCGTATGTACGAGCAAAGACTAGCAAAGTACCGTGGATACAACTCGCGTATCGATACAGTATTTCTAACACCGTGTTTCACGTGTACCCTGTTTCTCCTAATGATCCCTGCGTTTCGTCTCTGCATCTGTGTTTTGCTGCTACTTGATTGGTCCATTCTCCGTTTCACAGGTGATTCTCGCGGAAATGATTTCTCAGCCTTTTCTAACGCCCCAGCTCCAGAACCAGAGGGTGGTTCTTCACTTGTCAGTGGATTAATACAGTTAAATCGTCGTTCGCAGCTTGATGCTGAACGTCGTATTCCCCGACGTTCTCGACGATCTTCCTTGGGATCATCTTCCTCAGGTCTGTCAGGAGGGAGTCGTGGCAAATTTAACGAATCAAACAGTTCCCTACATCGAGATACTCTTGGTAAACGTTTGCGTTCGCTATCGCCTCCATTTGGTGCAGCAAATCAACGTGATAAGCTGTATTCCAGAGGGTCTTCCTCAGACAAAGTTGGTTTGTCTGATGATCACGGAGTGTCAAGGCGTCGGCGAGGAAAACGCGAAGTAAATTCCCCATCCCACAGGTACCTAATTTTTTGGCACATCTTTATCGATCGTCTGATACTGGTTTTGCCGCATACTCAAATTGTTCAATTTTTACTTAAGCCCTTCGATTAGACGACCTCACATGGATATCAATGCACCTGATTCATCGGATCGACATCGCGACTCGTCCTACGACCGCCAGACCAGCACAAAAGGGTCTGCTCGCAGCAATGCGGACCCAGTCCGGCGTTCAGAATTTGGAAACTCAAAGCGAACAGGAGATCCGGAAACGAATTTGTTGGATGACCACTCTCGCAGTGCGTATAACCGCCGGGCTGATCGCCAGAAGTCGCCCCCTAGTGCTCGCTGGAGAAGCCCGGAAGATAGCGTCAGTCGAGATGGTGCTAATACGGAGAGCGATAGTGCGTATAAAAACGCTCGTCGAAGTAGAAAGAAACGCGAGTTGTCTGGGGAAGCATCCAGTGCTTCAGATGTGCCGAATCCCAGATCTCGAGTTGAAACGGAGAGCACTCGTGTCACGAAGAAGTCAAGGAAACAACAGTCGGAGGATGAGATTAGTCCTAAAGGTAAGTGTATTTTCTGCACGGTGATCTTCGCGACTCACAATAGACATCTTCCATACGACCTGTTTTCTAATTTACTAAATTTGATTGTAATGGCTTTGCAGTCATCCTCAAGTCGAGTTACATCCTTAGTCGATTCAGTTAACAGCAAGACAATGATATCAGAGATATCAGTCACTCACAAGGAGACGTTTGCGAATTTTTGAGCTTGACGGTAACTGAAGCCCAACTGATAAATATTCACGAAACTTGGTGTTTATATCATTGCGGATTACATTTTCGTGCGCTAGCATCGGGACCGGTTGGTCACTTCTTTGCAGCCACAAGGCCGTTCATTCTACCGTCTTTTGATTATGATTTATGCTGACATGCAGGAACATTCAACTATTGTTGAAAAACGTTTAATGTGTAGACTAGCGATGCCCACAAATACGTACGTCGAGCAACAGACGAAAGGAACCTAGATAAGAACGACTGAAGTCACGAAATCTCGACGACAGCTGTTTTGGTACGATCTATGCAGCAGAACAATGCGTTCAAGTGAGTAAGCGTGCAGAATGTATAAGCTAACGTGCTGGGACCAACTAGTTGATCTTCATTCGGTAAACAACGAAGTTCGATTGTGGAAAAGGTACATGTGCAGAGAAGCTTGATGCTTTTAACACAGACATATGAAACAGTTAAACTACCCTGATAATTCTTTCTTGAACGGTATAACTTATCAGAATAAACTGCA